TCTTCTCTTCTCTTCTCTTCTCTTCTCTTCTCTTCTCTTCTCTTCTCCTCTTCCCTTCCATTCCCTTCCATTCCATTCCATTCCATTCCATTCCATTCCATTCCATTCCATTCCATTCCATTCTATTCTATTCTATTCTATTCTATTCTATTCTATTCTATTCTAGTATAAGGAACTGCCAGTTACAAGCTATGTTAATCTGTTGTAGATGATCTTTGAAATTAGTTAGACATATGGATATTCTGAAGGTGTCTGCAGTCCTAGCTAGATGGAACTGAACTGGTCCAGTTTGGGAAATGGGTGATATGATAGGCATGTTCCAATATTTGAATGTCTGCCACGAGGAAGAGGGGATCAATCTGTCCTACAAAGCACCGGAAGGAACAACAAGAAGTAATGGATGGGAATTAATTAAAGGAACGGCTCACCTACAGAAGTTGTGGATGCTTCATCAGTGAAGGTTTTTAAGAAGAGATTGCACAGCCATTTGTCTGAAATGGTATAGGGTCTCCTGCCTGAAAGAGGGTTGGACTACAAGACCTCAAAGATCCCTTCCAACTCTGTTATTCTGTTGTTCTGTTATCTTGACTTTCCAGGCACTTTTCTGGTGTTAGAAACTTCCCGGAGCATCTAACTTGTAGTATGGAGGTAGATCTAATCTCAAAGGCATTTTTTAAATGTTCTTTTTGATTCAGATTAAGTAGAACAATCAAATTTGTGGGGACAGCTGGAGAGAAAAAAAAGAGCAGGCACAAAGTGGAGAATATTTTGTAGTCATTAATTCTACTTGTTTGTATAGTAATTGTACTATGTAAACATGAACTCAAAATCTGAAGTATGGTAGAATCTTTTCAGATCAACACATTTAATTCAAAGGCATAAGATTTCATGGCTGCAGCTCACTTTGGTAAGGAAATATGAGGTAGCTGGTGAAATGTGAGGTAGCTGCTGTCTTTGAACAAAATGTATTAATATTATTAGCCTGGACAATGCTATCTGGTTTCCACTGTGTTATGGCTAGCCTGGCTCTCTGACAAATATAGCTAAAACAGTAAATATTCTTGGATGGAGTGAGCAGAGTCATAAACAGGAAAGAGAGGGAAGAAAGTGGAACAGAAGGAAGATCAATGTGAATATAATACAGTCTATCCCAATTTCCTATGTGCCGCCAAGTTTTTTTTTTTTAAAAAAAAACACTGATAAAAGAATATTAGAAGCTGGAAAGAGAGAAGAGGGAAAACAGTTGAAGATGGATGAGTGGATCGGTGTTTATCAAACTTGTCAACTTTAAGATATGCTTCAGTTCCCAGGGTTCTCCAGACAGTCACACATCATTGGTTGTCTGGGGAACTCTGGGAGTAGAAGTCCACATATCTTGAAGTTGCCAAATCTGAGAAGCATCAAGTTTATTTATTGATTTGATTTGTCAATTGCTTACAAGATAACAGGTATGTATAAACATATGAATGAATGAAATGAATACATATAAGAAAAATAAACAGAAGCAATAGGACAGGGACAGTAGGCACGTTGGTGCGCTTATGCACGCCCCCTACAGACCTCTTAGGAAAGGGGTGAGGTCAATAGTAGACAGTCTGAGGTTAAAGTTTTGGGGGTTTGGGGAAGAAACCAGAGTCAGGTAGAGTATTCCAGAGTTAGATAGACCAGCGTGTAATACATAGAACAGTGAGGGATCCTAGGTGCTACCTGAGCGTGGTTGTTTTCTTGCAGTTGTTTCATTACCCAAACTTGGTAACACCATCAATGCTAGTCACTAGAGCACCAAGGATCTCTCAGGTCAACTGTGAGCTACAAATATTCTCCTCTTCAAGATAGAACGGTACTTCCTAAACCCTTTTCTTCGTCACCCCAAATCACGTATCAAAAAATCCCTGTTGTGATTGGGCAAAGGATTTGAATGTTGTTACTCAAAGGAAAACTAATTTTACCTCATTTGGGATAATTTACTCGGGTTTGGGAAGAACTGAGGTAGGAGGATAGCAGAGGAAGATGACAGGCAACTGCTTAGCAGGGCAGAGACAGAGGAAGAGTAGTATGACTCCAAATCCCATCATCCCTGACCACAGGTCAGAGGACCACAGAAAGAGAAATTGAGGAAGAGTTAGGCAGACACCAGTAAGGAGGAAAAGGGATGTGTGCTAAATAAAATGTAAAAGATATGATCTTTTAGAGGTAGAACAAGGCAGGGGGAGAAAAATTGCAAAATTAATTGTAAAATCAAGCAGAATAAATGAGAGGTTTCACCTGAGGCTGGATTGGCTACTAACTCAAAAAGGGTCATCGAAATCCAGGGAAATGACATGTCAGGGAGACGGAGAAGGAATTAATATCTGTATTAATTTGCGGTTTGCAATAAGACTTGACTGGGTCTCACATAGATGAGTAAACTTCCTCTTAGTAACAGTAATAGATCTAGTAGCAGAAGTCCCCAATTTTCCATTTCTGAGCTCCGTTCCTACTGGTTGCAAACTTTCCGTAGCAATTATATAACATGGTTTGCCAGGGCATGCTTTTTTTGTCTTATTCTGTGGATTTCCTGGTGGCTCCCCATCCCGGTATTAAACATGTCTGATCCTCCTATCTGGGAGCAAGTGGTTCAACTTAACTGCCTGGTAAAGGTGTTGCAAAGTTTCCGTGCCTTATTCTCAAATCCGTGCCAAATAAATGAACTATTATTAGTGGTCGATCCGGATGATGATTTGTTAGGGTTGGCCCATTCCAGATGGCCCCATTCAAGACCTCTATGTTCTAAGGCAGTAAAGCATACTTTACAAATACTGTTATAGAGTATTTGAGTCCAGACTGGACCTCATGGAATTTGGGCAGGTGGGCAGGTCAGGGTACTAAGGGAAGAGAGTCCCTGTAGCTCAGGGTTGAATTGTGTACTCTTTTGTGCTCTCTGGGCTTGGTTGTTTTCGTGCAGATGTTTCATTACCTGTCTAGGTCACATCTTCAGTGTGAAGAAGGGTGGGGTTTGCTCTGAAGCATTGAAGACGTCACTGAGATGGGTAATGAAATGTCTGCATGAAAATAAAAAAGGATTAAGCTTTTTGGATGAGAAGCAAAACATTTTCTTTTTCTTTTCCTTCTCCTCCTTCTCCTTCTCTTCCTTCTCTTTCTCCATCTCCTTTTCCTTCTCCTCTTTCTTCTCCTTCTTGTCCTCCTTCTCCTCCTCATTCTCTTCCTCATTTTCCTTCTCCTTCTCCTCCTTCTCCTCCTCCTCCTTCTCCTCCTCCTTCTTTTCCTCCTCCTCCTCCTCCTTCTTCTCCTTCATCTCCTCCTCCTCCTCCT